AAGCGCATCATATTTCTGAGTGTCTGTCTGAACTGAAGAGGCTCCGGATCTTCATCCGGCCCTCGATTCCTCTTCTACAGGCTCGCTCGCGCGCGGTGTGTTTTAATCTGTCATTTTTGAGGTAACAAAAAACCAGTTTAAAAACATCTGACAATGAGAAAGTGAGCATTACAAAAGTTTTTGTCTACAAAAACTGTGATAGCTTGGTATTAGACACCACTGCCATCAATAAATAAATCTATAAACAAGCTTTAAACTTTTGAAGGAGAAAAATGTTTATAATATCCAGTAGAAAAAAATTAGCTAAAATTATATAATCAAACTAGAAAGGTTGTTTTAATATTGAATAGTTTACATTATTTACTTTTATTCATTTAGCAATGCTTGTCCGTTTGCCCATTTGTTCTCCTAAAATTAATGTAAACATTTACATTTAGCAGATGAAATGTAAAATGTAAGCACAACCATTATAACAAAAATGCAGCCTATCAAGTTATGTTAAAAGTTTTTATTGAAATGCTGCCCTTTTCCGTTCATGTCACTTTCTCTGTTGAATAATGAAAACAGCTTGCACACGTGCTGTGCTTTCAGTGTTCTTTTTTTTTAGTTGAATAATGAAATTTTCCATGCTTTGTTGAAAAAAAAAACGCTTAATTAATTTTTGTCAGCAGGGCTACATTATTCTGTTATTTGGTGCAAACTCACACATGCTGAAATGCATCACAAACAGTTTAATTCAAATTTAAGTAATAATAATTAAAAAAACAAGTAAACTGAAACACTACAAAAAAGGGGTTTGTTTATTTTAAATAATTGCTTAATTTGTCCAAGAAAAACGTCACCAATGAAATGCAATATCATAAAAATCATGTTTATTTTGTTCATGAACACACACACACTGTCCCTCCACTGTTTTTGTTCTCCTCTGATCTCATGTCTTTCTTCTCTTTCTCACACTTATCTCTGTCTTCAGCTGATCTCTGGATCCATTCGGCTCTAGCTGACTCTCTCCTTTTGAGTTTTAGGATATATTTTCTGCTAGTTATTCCATAATCATCAACCTCCTTTGTATGTTTAATTCAGTGCAATTCGAACACTGTTCACAGTCAATGCTGACTCGGCTGAGAGTAAAGCTGCGCTCCAGACAAAATCTTGTGCACTAAACTGACGGACCAGGATGCATTGGGTCTGATGTTCAAACTCATTAATGCACAGCAATGATCATGTAAAAAGAGGAGGGACAAATGTAAAAACTTCTATGGTTGCTGCTTCTGTGGCTTTTTTCTGTTTATCCTGAAAACTTTTTTTTCCCCTGCAAAACCTGGCATTGTTAAAAATGTGCTGTGCAACTAAGAGCTGATTAGGCAATAAAAAAGACAAATGTAAAAACTTCTATGGTTGCTGCTTCTGTGGCTTTTTTCTGTTTATCCTGAAAACTTTTTTTCCCCTGCAAAACCTGGCATTGTTAAAAATGTGCTGTGCAACTAAGAGCTGATTAGGCAATAAAAACAACTTATTTATGATTTCACAACAAATAAAAATTCAGTGCTGGAATTTCCTGAATATTTGGTTATGTATTTGCATTAGATCCTTAAAGAATCAGAAACAGAACAACAACACTAACTATGCATTTACATTTATATGTAAATCTGAGATAATAAGCCTTTGCAGCTTAATCAAAACAAAGACTTCTCTCTATTGCACTGCTAAAATGCCGTGCTTAAACAAACAAACCGTCTGGTCTAACCATCTCTCTTACACATACAATAGATTAAGTGAACTCCAGCTCTGACTGAGTCGAGCGTGCTCTCAATCTCAGGATCAGCGTGGAGGTCGTGCGAGTGTGTGCGGATAGCGTGTGTCATGAAAGATCCTTTGTTGTCTGAGTGAAGTCACTCTTTGACTCGTGGGTCCATCCAGAGCTCAGAGCCCAGCGAGGGGCTTTCAGAGTCAGACGTGGGGTGAATGAAGCTCTGTGTCGACCCACCTTCGCTCTAGAGCAGGAGAAAACGACTCACACAGTCAACTTTGTCAGATCTGACCATCAGAGCTTCAGCTGCTATTAGTGGTGTGTGTTTGCTAAGGCAAGAGTCACTACTGCTCATAATTGGGTTTTTGTCCCTCTCACTTTTAGATATTACTTCATTCACTTCTGAAATGTAGCTATTATTCCTCAGGTAGTGCCCTGATGGATAATAGTTGCATTAAAGAAGTTTATTTTGCTTAACTGTGCACAGTGCGAGGAAAATAACTGTGGTCGTTCGCATAAAACAAAGGCTTTAAATTTAAAACCAAGCAGAAGCCACTGCTAGCTGGTTGATTCAAAAGTGGGCGGGGCCAACGCACAAGCGGTAATACTATTGGATAATGCTCACCTTTCACTGTCCGCGTTTCACTGTTCACCTGTATTCATAAATCAATCAGCCTGCAGAAGTATTAGTGCGAGAGACGCTAAACGAAAAAAGTGCACAAAAAGAGAGTTGTCTGTGACTATTGTAAGTTCATTTTGTTAAATAGACAAAACATTTGACATTTTAGTAACTTTAAGTCAGTGTTTCACAGAAAACACTGAATGATCAATATAGTTATTTTAGTGTTAAGATCATTTTTGTTAAAGTTTTAAGTTTAAAGAGTTAATTTTCATACATATAGTTTATATATACATACATACATATAATATCCTGGGAATGGCGCATATATATTATTACATGTTCATATGCATATACATTGCATTGTGTATGCGTGCGTGTGTGTGTGTGTGTGTGTGTGTGTGTGTGTATTCTGTTTACTATGAGTTTATATGACATTTTCATTCATACATGGTTGCAACAACAACAACAACTGTATTATGAAAATGCTGTTACTTTTATAAGTGATCAGGCCTGTGATTTTCACCTGTTGGATGATAACGTAACACCCTAGCAACCACCCAGAATACCATAGCAATACCCTAGCAACCACACTGAACCCCCCAGCAACTATGTTTATCTTTAACCATTATGTTTCACATAAGTTCATTTTGTTAAATAGACAAAACATTTGACATTTTAGTAACTTTAAGTCAGTGTTTCACAGAAAACACTGAATGATCAATATAGTTATTTTAGTGTTAAGATCATTTTTGTTAAAGTTTTAAGTTTAAAGAGTTAATTTTCATGCATATAGTTTATATATACATACATACATATAATATCCTGGGAATGGCGCATATATATTATTACATGTTCATATGCATATACATTGCATTGTGTATGCGTGCGTGTGTGTGTGTGTGTGTGTGTGTGTGTGTGTATATTCTGTTTACTATGAGTTTATATGACATTTTCATTCATACATGGTTGCAACAACAACAACAACTGTATTATGAAAATGCTGTTACTTTTATAAGTGATCAGGCCTGTGATTTTCACCTGTTGGATGATAACGTAACACCCTAGCAACCACCCAGAATACCATAGCAATACCCTAGCAACCACACTGAACCCCCCAGCAACTATGTTTATCTTTAACCATTATGTTTCACCACCCCATAAATCTGAGCTAAACATGCACGCTTATATGTACATGTGTGTGTTTGGATCCTCAGAAAGTCCTCATAAATCACAGTTCATTATGAGTCCCCTTGCATACTTCAAAGAGCATAAACTCAGAGAGGTGTGTGCCCTGCATCACCCAGTGTATACTGGGTTGCTGTGGAAACGCTGTGCTGTGTTGTAGCCGGCTGGCAAGAGTGCAAATGTCTCCTGTATTCTGAGCAGATGTCTGGCATGGATACAGGGACGAGGCCGGGGTGTGACACACACACACACACACACTGCCCTTAGGGCTGACAGTATCTGTCCTTAAGAAACATATCTGGATTTGTGTGCTTTAGTTAGTTAGTGTGTGTGTGTGTGTGTGTGTGTGTGTGTGAGAGAGACAGGCAGGAATAAGGTGAGGAGTTTATTCACACTATGTATGTCAGAGTCGTTCTGTCAGACAGATGATTAAGTGCTTTAAGCCCGGATCAGATATCCATCCTGTTTAAGAGAGCTCTCTCTGGGTCACTCATGCAGACCTACAGGAAAGAGAGCAGTCGGGTGAAGGCAGGAGGTTTGCACATTTCCACACAGGTGTGTTGTTAGGTATTCAGTTGCTAAAAAAAAAAGATGCATTACACTGCTGCAGTACTCGGTATACGAAGTTGATCTTGTGTTTGTGTTGATGTTTGTTCGATGATTTACACTTGTGTTTATGTTAGTTTGTTGTTTAGTTCTTGTATTTATGTTAGATTATTTTGTTTGTTGATTTGTCCTTGTGTTTTTGCTTATTCACATTTGTTGATTTGTAATTGTTTGTTTGTTATTTTGCAGTTGTCTTTATGCTAGTTTGTTTGTTGCTGCTTTATATTTTTATTTGTTTCTTGTTTTGTTTGTTGCTTTGCACTTTGTTGAGTTGTGTTGGTGTGTATTTGTTGATTTAGATTTTTTTTCCGTTAATTTGTCCATGTGTATATTTGCTGCTTTATGCTTTTATGTTTGATACTTGTTTTGTTTGTTGCACATTGTTAAGTTGTGCTGGTTTTTGTTTGTTGCGTTACACTTCTTCATGCTTGTTTGTTGTTTTTATTGCTTATCTTTGTTGGTTGTTTTGTAATTGTTTGTTTGTTAATTGTTGAATTAATGTTTTGTTTGTTGGTTAATTTGTGCATGTGTGTGTTTGCTGCTTTTTATTCACGTTTTTTGTTGTTTCATTTGTTGCTTTGTTCCGTTGCACTTTTATTTATGTTTATTTTTGTTTTGTTTGTTGCATTCCACTTGTGTTTGTTTGTTTATTTGTGCTTATGTGTTGTTGTTCATGTTTTTGTTTTGTTTGTTTGTTGCTTGGAACTTGTACTTGTAATTGTACTTGTTTGTGTGTTGCTTTACATGATTATTTATGATTGTTTTCTAGTTATGTTTGCACTGATGTTTGCATGTTTATTTGTTACTTGATGTGCATTTATATTTTTGTGTGTTTTTTGTTTGGCACTTGTTTATCTTTGTTCATGCATATGAGAGATTAAAGCGCTGTCATTTGTGGCTGCGAGAGTCAATGATGTTTTCGTGTCGGAAACAGGGATGTCTGTCGCCTGCTATTTTTACGTTGTGGTTTTGTCGTGTGTCAGCGCCAACTTTTCGTGACCGCTTGACCCTGACGGTTCAAAACAGTACTGATGCCAACCCACACTGAGAGGAAGTGAAACCATCTCAGTGTTATTTGTAGAAGATCTCCTTCTTCTCATTTCACAGACAGCATAACTTACTTGTGTGTTATCGAATGTGTCTTTTCTGGTTAATATACTCTTTCTATCATTTCTATTTATTTGTTGTGTGTGTTTTTTGTTGTGTGTGTTTTTTGTTTTTTTTGCACTATAGTCTCAGTGGCGCCACCCTACAGGTGGGAATAAGACTAACATCCGAGACTTTAGATTTTGTGCTACTTTCAGAGGTGTGTGATAGGAGGAGAATAAAGTAAACAGTGAATCACAGACGTGATCAGAGGCATCTGTCGCTTAGTCATTAGTGTAACCTACTTTTGTTGTGTTTTCGTTTGCAGATGTCTTATGGTGAGAGCGTGATGGTGGAGCATTGAGGAGGCAAGATCAAGAAGAGAAGATAGAGATATATTTCAGAGGAAGTGTTTGAGCTGAAGACCGAAGTGATGTTGGCCCCTGAACAGGAGCTGCTGAGCTCTTCTAAACCCATCAAATACGGAGAGCTCATCGTCCTCGGGTAAGAATGACTCCACTTTCTCAATCAGATTTGCATTTATGCTTAGTAAATCTTGCTAATGCAGCATTGTGAACTAACGTTTTGTCTCCACAGCTACAATGGCTCCCTACCGAACGGAGACCGGGGCAGAAGAAGGAGTCGTTTCGCTCTGTTTAAGACACCCAAAGCCAATGGAGTCAAACCCAGCACCGTCCACAGCACATGCAGTCCACAGACCGCCAAGGTACATGCCCATTTTCCCGATAATAATTTTTAAACGCCTTTATTGCTCATTTATGTGTCACATTGAATTTTTAAGGGCTTCTGCACAAGCCGAGTGTTTAAATGTGCATTCGGCATTCTTCGCTGCCGGTGAATGTGCATCTATAGCATGTGTAGCATGCAACACATTTATCCAGTGTGACTTCACCCTCACATTTCATTATCATCTGTTACTCCTGCATGTCTGAATTTGATAAATGAACTGTAAGCTGATTTGACGGATGTAAATATTATGAACCGGCATGCTCTTGACGAGGGTTCTGGTGTGCATGTGGTGTTTCTGCAGGCCATCAGCAACAAAAACCAGCACAGCGTGTCGTATACGCTGTCCAGGGCGCAGACGGTAGTCGTAGAGTATGCACACGACAGCACCACTGACATGTTTCAGGTATGTTTAGGTTTCTTCAGGTAACTGTGTTTGAATTGTATACAGGTTTTGTGGGTGCATTTGTACTGCAGACCTGCCAACCTGTACGCATTTTGCGTAGCGAAAAAAAAGGACGCTGGTACGGTTTGTCACTCTAAACTACACTCAGTGACCATGTGTCGCAAATTGTTAAATGTGACTTTTTATTCACATTCATTATTATTATTAAAGCAGATTATGGCAGGATGGGAAAAGGTGAGTTAGGTTATCTTTCCCTCACAACCAAAAACACACTTCTTTGGTGAAATTGTTGATTTCGTGGTCTAAAAACAAAATGACAAATCCTTCTCGAGCAGTGTAAATAAGTCAGAATGCATGAAATACCATTAGACCTCCCCTTTAACAAAATTAGCTGAAAACGAAAATAAAGTTTCTTTAATAATCAATGAATCACATTGATTTAATAATAAACACTCAAATAAAAACAGAGTTCTACATAAACATTTAAATTGCACATAAAGATGTTTTTATATCAACATTTTCTACTCCAATTCATTGTTGAAATATAAACATTTAAACGGTGGCAGTCTTTCATAACAGATTTAGTCTTATTGTTTTCATGATTTATTCACGCATACATTAAATAAAGAAAACAACAGGTTAAGTAAAAATAGAATTAATATGTGATATAGTGCATGTATTTAGCAAAATTATGACTAATGAGTTTATGGACGTTGAATGGCTTTCTTGAGGTAAATATAATGTCGTTTACTGATGTCTTTCTTGAGTGATTACATGAGATATGATACATTTCATATACAATTGTACTGTTCTTGTCAACACCTTCTGATATTCACGCATGTTTATTTCGTACTATACTATACTATACTATACTATTTAATAATTTCTAGTATTAAAGAAGAAGGATAACTGGTTTATGTGCCGCACTACAGTGATCTGTCATGACACATTAAAGAGCATGAACCACATTTACTGTTTGACTGTTTACTGATGTCTTTCTTGAGTGATTACATGAGATATGATACATTTCATATACAATTGTACTGTTCTTGTCAACACCTTCTGATATTCACGCATGTTTATTTCGTACTATACTATACTATACTATTTAATAATTTCTAGTATTAAAGAAGAAGGATAACTGGTTTATGTGCCGCACTACAGTGATCTGTCATGACACATTAAAGAGCATGAACCACATTTACTGTTTGACTTTTGTGATAAAATTGACAGAATTTGAAAGCACAAACTTATTGTGATTATTGGATGGCAGGCGTGCTACAAATAATGTTTAGTTTTTTTATGCTATCAACTAAAAACTAAAAGATCTTGGTTCATCAAAATGGAGACTGATTAAAAACGATAAATTGAAAACACTCAATCTCAACCCAATTTCCCTTTCATCATTGCATAAACCCTATAAAACTTTCTTTCTTTTGCAGATCGGCCGGTCCACTGAAAGCCCCATTGATTTCGTGGTGATGGACACGCTGCCTGGTTGTCACGGCAAAAGCGACACGCTGTCGTCTCAGAGCACTATATCGCGATTCGCGTGTCGGATCGTGTGTCAGCGAGCGCCGCCCTACACCGCGCGCATCTACGCCGCCGGCTTCGACTCGTCCAAAAGCATCTTCCTGGGGGTGGGTCAAACACACTCCTCCAATACAATATCTCTCCTCTCTAACAGTCTTTCATACTCATCCATCCATCCATTCCATGATGCTTTCATGTGTTCATCTGTCCACTATCACTCATCCTGGAGAGGCTGAAAATGAACAAGTGAGTGAGTGAATGAATTAACTAATTCATGACGCGAACCAACTACACTACTGTTCGAAAGTTTGAGTCAGTAAAAATTTTTCTCTTCTCTTCTGCTCACCAAGGCTGCATTTATTTGGTCAAAAATACAGTAAAAACTCTAATATTGTGAAATGTTATTATAATTTAAAATAACAGTTTTATGTGAATATTTTCCACATGATCTTCAGAAATCATTCTAATATGCTGATTTGCTGCTCAAGAAATATTTCTGATTATTGTCAATGTTGAAAACAGTTGTGCTGCTTCATATTAAAAAAAAAAACGGTGATAATTTTTTTCAGGATTTTTTTATGAATAGAAAGTTCAAAAGAACAGCATTTATTTGAAACAGAAATTGATATCCTTGATGAATAATAGTATTTATTTTTTATTAAAAAAAAATCTTACTGACCCCAAACAGTTGAACAGTAGTGTATGTGTGTGTGTGTGAGTGAGTGAGTGAGTGAGTGAGTGAAGGAATGAATGTATGAATCTGTGAATAAACTGAGGAAATGAATGAATCTAAGAATGAAGTGTGCGAAGTGTGAACAAATTAATTGGTGAATGAAGAGATCGTACAAATAAATCAGTGAACAAAGTGAGCGAACAAATGAACTGGTGAACACAGTGAGCAAAATAATTAATTTGTGAAGAAATTGAACGAATAAAGGAATTTGCTGAACGAAGTGAGCGAACAAATGAATAGGTGAACAAAATAAGTGAGCGAATGAATAGGTGAATGAAGTGAGTGAATGAATGATTTGGTGAATCAATTGAGGGAACAAATGATTCAGTGATGGAAGTGAGTGAAGTGAGCAAACAAATGAATTGGTCAATGAAGTGAGCAAATAAAAGAATCAGTGAAAAAAGTGAGAGAACAAATTAATTAGTGAATGTGAACAAACAGTGAACTAATAAATTGGTGAATGAATTGAGGGAATGAATGAATCTGCGAATGACTTGAGTGAACGAATGTATCACTGAAAGAAGTGAGCAAACGAATGAACTGGTGAATGAAGAGAGCGAACAAATGAATTGGTGAATGAAGAGAGCGAACAAATGAATTGGTGAATGAAGAGAGCGAACAAATGAATTGGTGAATGAAGAGAGCGAACAAATGAATTGGTGAATGAAGAGAGTGAATGAATAAATTGGTGACTGAAGAGAGCGAACGAATTAACCAATGAATGAAGTGAGTGAATGAATGAATTGGTGAATAAAGAGAGAACGAACGAATCGATGAATGAAGTGAGAGAACGAATGATTTGGTGAATGAAGAGAGCGAACAAATGAATTGGTGAATGAAGAGAGTGAATGAATAAATTGGTGACTGAAGAGAGCGAACGAATTAACCGATGAATGAAGTGAGTGAATGAATGAATTGGTGAATAAAGAGAGAACGAACGAATCGATGAATGAAGTGAGAGAACGAATGATTTGGTGAATGAAGAGAGCGAACAAATGAATTGGTGAATGAAGAGAGTGAATGAATAAATTGGTGACTGAAGAGAGCGAACGAATTAACCGATGAATGAAGTGAGTGAATGAATGAATTGGTGAATAAAGAGAGAACGAACGAATCGATGAATGAAGTGAGAGAACGAATGATTTGGTGAATGAAGAGAGCGAACAAATGAATTGGTGAATGAAGAGAGTGAATGAATAAATTGGTGACTGAAGAGAGCGAACGAATTAACCGATGAATGAAGTGAGTGAATGAATGAATTGGTGAATAAAGAGAGAACGAACGAATCGATGAATGAAGTGAGAGAACGAATGATTTGGTGAATGAAGAGAGCGAACAAATGAATTGGTGAATGAAGAGAGTGAATGAATAAATTGGTGACTGAAGAGAGCGAACGAATTAACCGATGAATGAAGTGAGTGAATGAATGAATTGGTGAATAAAGAGAGAACGAACGAATCGATGAATGAAGTGAGAGAACGAATGATTTGGTGAATGAAGAGAGCGAACAAATGAATTGGTGAATGAAGAGAGTGAATGAATAAATTGGTGACTGAAGAGAGCGAACGAATTAACCGATGAATGAAGTGAGTGAATGAATGAATTGGTGAATAAAGAGAGAACGAACGAATCGATGAATGAAGTGAGAGAACGAATGATTTGGTGAATGAAGAGAGCGAACAAATGAATTGGTGAATGAAGAGAGTGAATGAATAAATTGGTGACTGAAGAGAGCGAACGAATTAACCGATGAATGAAGTGAGTGAATGAATGAATTGGTGAATAAAGAGAGAACGAACGAATCGATGAATGAAGTGAGAGAACGAATGATTTGGTGAATGAAGAGAGCGAACAAATGAATTGGTGAATGAAGAGAGTGAATGAATAAATTGGTGACTGAAGAGAGCGAACGAATTAACCGATGAATGAAGTGAGTGAATGAATGAATTGGTGAATAAAGAGAGAACGAACGAATCGATGAATGAAGTGAGAGAACGAATGATTTGGTGAATGAAGAGAGCGAACAAATGAATTGGTGAATGAAGAGAGTGAATGAATAAATTGGTGACTGAAGAGAGCGAACGAATTAACCGATGAATGAAGTGAGTGAATGAATGAATTGGTGAATAAAGAGAGAACGAACGAATCGATGAATGAAGTGAGAGAACGAATGATTTGGTGAATGAAGAGAGCGAACAAATGAATTGGTGAATGAAGAGAGTGAATGAATAAATTGGTGACTGAAGAGAGCGAACGAATTAACCGATGAATGAAGTGAGTGAATGAATGAATTGGTGAATAAAGAGAGAACGAACGAATCGATGAATGAAGTGAGAGAACGAATGATTTGGTGAATGAAGAGAGCGAACAAATGAATTGGTGAATGAAGAGAGTGAATGAATAAATTGGTGACTGAAGAGAGCGAACGAATTAACCGATGAATGAAGTGAGTGAATGAATGAATTGGTGAATAAAGAGAGAACGAACGAATCGATGAATGAAGTGAGAGAACGAATGATTTGGTGAATGAAGAGAGCGAACAAATGAATTGGTGAATGAAGAGAGTGAATGAATAAATTGGTGACTGAAGAGAGCGAACGAATTAACCGATGAATGAAGTGAGTGAATGAATGAATTGGTGAATAAAGAGAGAACGAACGAATCGATGAATGAAGTGAGAGAACGAATGATTTGGTGAATGAAGAGAGCGAACAAATGAATTGGTGAATGAAGAGAGTGAACGAATTAATTGGTGAATGAAGAGAGAGAACGAACGAACCGGTGACTGAAGAGAGCGAACAAATTTACCGATGAATGAAGTGAGTGAATGAATGAATTGGTGATTAAAGAGAGAACGAACGAATCGATGAATGAAGTGACAGAACGAATGAATTGGTGAATGAAGAGAGTGAACGAATTAATTGGTGAATGAAGAGAGCGAACGAATTAATTGGTGAATGAAGAGAGCGAACGAATTAATTGGTGAATGAAGAGAGCGAACGAATTAATTGGTGAATGAAGAGAGCGAACGAATTAATTGGTGAATGAAGAGAGCGAACGAATTAATTGGTGAATGAAGAGAGCGAACGAATTAATTGGTGAATGAAGAGAGCGAACGAATTAATTGGTGAATGAAGAGAGCGAACGAATTAACCGATGAATGAAGTGAGTGAATGAATGAATTGGTGAATAAAGAGAGAACGAACGAATCGATGAATGAAGTGACAGAACGAATGAATTGGTGAATGAAGAGAGAATGAATGAATCGATGAATGAAGAGAGAGAACGAATGAATTGGTGAATGAAGTGAGTGAATGAATGAATTGGTGAATAAAGAGAGCGAACAAACGAACCGATGAATGAAGTGAGTGAATGAATGAATTAGTGAATAAAGAGAGAACGAACAAATCGATGAATGAAGTGAGAGAACGAATGAATTGGTGAATGAAGAGAGTGAACAAATTAATTGGTGAATGAAGGGAGAGAACGAACGAACCGGTGACTGAAGAGAGCGAACGAATTAACCGATGAATGAAGTGAGTGAATGAATGAATTGGTGATTAAAGAGAAAACGAACGAATGAATTGGTGAATGAAGAGAGCGAACAAATGAATTGGTGAATGAAGAGAGCGAACGAATTAATGGGTGAATGAAGAGAGAGAACAAATGAACTGGTGAATGAAGAGAGCGAACAAATTAATTGGTGAATGAAGAGAGCGAACGAATTAACCGATGAATGAAGTGAGTGAATGAATGAATGAGTGAATAAAGAGAGAACGATCGAATCGATGAATGAAGTGAGAGAACGAATGAATTGGTGAATGAAGAGAGTGAACGAACGAACCGGTGAATGAAGAGAGCGAACAAATTAATTGGTGAATGAAGAGAGCGAACGAATTAATTGGTGACTGAAGAGAGCGAACGAATTAACCGATGAATGAAGAGAGCGAATGAATGAATTGGTGAATAAAGAGAGTGAACGAACGAACCGATGAATGAAGTGAGTGAATGAATGAATGAGTGAATAAAGAGAGAACGATCGAATCGATGAATGAAGTGAGAGAACGAATGAATTGGTGAATGAAGAGAGCGAACAAATGATTTGGTGAATGAAGAGAGCGAACGAACAAATCGATGAATGAAGTGAGTGAATGAATGAATTGGTGAATAAAGAGAGCGAACAAATGAACCGGTGAATGAAGTGAGTGAATGAATGAATTAGTGAATAAATCGAAGGAACCAAGTAATCAACAAATGGGGTGAGCAAACGAATGAAAGAATGAATGAATCAGTCAATAAATGAATGAATCAGTAAATGAAGTGAGCAGATGAATAAATCAGTGAATCGATGAATCAACAAATGAATGGACTGTTTTTCCCTCTGTCCTCAGGAGAAAGCGGCGAAATGGTGGTGCGCTGACAGCCAGATGGACGGCCTGACCACCAATGGCATATTAGTGATGCGACCGCGGCACGGCTTCACCTGCGAGTCCAAACCGGGCGCCTGGAGAGAGATCTCAGTCTGCGGCAACGTCTTCATGCTCCGAGAGACCCGGTCCGCTCAGAAACCCGGCAAACTGGTGAGGCTGCCTTTAATAGACTTGTCATTAAACATACAACCAAATTTAGATCAAATAACAACTGAGGCTTGATGAAATCCTCCAGAACGAGGTCAAAACTCGACCACAGCGGCATCTCAGTAATGCACAGATAAACATTCGGGTGACATTTCCTTGTTTCCCTGCTTCACCATGACAACTCTGATCATGTGTTGGTAAATACTCGTTTTAGGGCTTGAAAATTCCCACTGTCCTTATCTGGAATCACACACACACACACACACACACACACACACAGTTCTTATATACATAAAGAATTTGTATATTTGTGTATCCGTTCGATCAGTGATGGCCCACAGGGACTGAATCAGCACATAGCTGGTGTGTTTGTGTGTGTTGCGCGTGATATGACTCCCGCCCGACTGCACAGTTTGTTGTGTTGTTAAAATCTGGTCTCCATGGTGTCAGAAGTCCTGTCCGTAACCTCACCATGCAGCTTTGTTTTTTCTGGATGCACAGTGTGTGAGAATGAGAGGTTATGAAATGACTGTCGCTGGTAAACAACTGCAAATCTGAAAATCTCTAAAGCTATTTCCTCTCAGAAAAGTGTTTCTTAATATCTGTTGAGCAGAGTTTTATATCTCATAAAAGTGTCTTATTTGAAGTTGAATCTCAGGAATATATCATTATTAGATCGAAAAATTGAAAGAAGGAATGTTTTAGTTAAAGAAACAGCCATTGTTATGTTCATATCATTGACATAGTGTCGTTTTTGTTGATCAGATTTAATTTTGTTTATATTGTTTTCACTTTCATTTCACTTAAAGTTTTAGCAATATTGATCGTTTTTTATTGCTTATATCATTTTAATAATTATTCTTTATTAGTTTTAGTTAAACTAAATGAGAAATGCTGCATTGGCAATGAACAAAATAAACAAATACATTTTTATATTATATAATTCATTGTTACTTACATTGTAGTTTTTGATTATTAGACTTTATCTTATTTTTAAATTGTTTTCACTTTAATTTCAGTTAAAGTTGTAGTAATCTTGTGTTTTGTCATTTTAATTATGTTTTATGTTTATATATATATTTTAATGAATTTTTCTTTATTAGTTTTAGTTGTTTTAGTACTTCATTAAAATAAAAAAATTATAAATGTAGCTGAAATAAAACGTGTGTGTATATATATATATATATATATATATATATATACAGTGGGTACGGAAAATATTCAGACCCCCTTAAATTTTTCACTCTTTGTTATATTGCAGTATTGCAGAATGATTTTAGCAAATGGCTGCAATATAACAAAGAGTGAAAAATTTAAGGGGGTCTGAATACTTTCCGTACCCACTGTATATATATATATTCTGTTATAAATTATATAGTTTTTCTTTTCATTTTAGTTAAAGTTTTTTTTTATCGTTTTGGTAATATTTTAATTAGATTTTATGTTTATATATTTTATATATTTTCACTTGAATTTAATTTGTTGTGTTTTTGTCTTTTTTATGTATGATCATTTTTTATGTTTTTTTATTAGAGATGCTGTAACTTACATGAATAAAAATCACAAACATGACACTTGTAAATTAAATAATTTTAAATATACAGATTTATGTGTTATATTATTATATTATATGTTTTTCAAACGGATTATGAAAACTTAAATAAAAGGAGCTGTAAAAGATTTTCAGAATTTGTACAACTCCTTTGCTTTAGACAAATGTAAAATCATCTATAAATGTAAAATCATCTACAAATGTTAAATCATCTATAAATGTAAAATCATCTATAAATGTTAAATCATCTACAAATGTTAAATCATCTATAAATGTAAAATCATCTCACTTGTAAATTAAATAATTTTAAATATACAGATTTATGTGTTATATTATTATATTATATGTTTTTCAAACGGATTATGAAAACTTAAATAAAAGGAGCTGTAAAAGATTTTCAGAATTTGTACAACTCCTTTGCTTTAGACAAATGTAAAATCATCTACAAATGTAAAATCATATATAAATGTTAAATCATCTACAAATGTTAAATCATATATAAATGTTAAATCATCTACAAATGTTACCACTGCATCTGTCTGAAAAAAGGCATTTGATTTATAGTTATTTTCAAAGCTTTCATTGTACTCTCAGTATTAAAGAACTTCATTATTGTTTATTTAATTCTAACAAGTAAGTTTTTGTTAGAAACTAACCAAAATGACAAATAATTAGTTTACAATCTTTGCACAGGAGAGACAGTGTTGTATTGATGTATCGACTATCTGCCAAAATGAGTTGAAAAATATCGGCATATCGGATATTGTCAAAAATCCAATATCATGCGTCCCTATTTTTTATGTATGCTAATATGTCTAGTTTTTTTTTTTTTTCGAGTTTTCAAGTTTTAAGAAAACAAGTTGTGTTGCCTTAGCAACTAGCTGAAATAAAATAAGTTTACTTTATATATATATATATATATATATATAT